ACCCATTATGTGCCTATGTTCCCGTAAAGTCTTTTCGTAATTATTAAGGCGGGTAGCTTAATTATTTTTTCCTGAAATTTAGATTGGAGAAACAAAACAGTCGTATTCATCACAATTTATGAATAATATAAATATCTATATTTTGATATAGAAGCAGGTAATTGTGACATTCTAATACTAAAGTGGTAGTCAGCGCTATAAAATTTCGTATTCGTCCTGAGCATTTTTCCCAAAATGAGATATTTAAGTCAAAATTATTTTCACCACAGTAGCCCTAAATGGGTCCTTTTCCCGCCACATCATTTTCATTGATGAGGAACTCAGCTTCTGTTTTTTCTCATTACGTGATACTTTGTTAATTGCATGATACATTGCATAGACAAGCTTTCTACTTCACTTAATTCCTATTTTATTTTTATTTTATAACCGTCGTTGAACAGCCGACCCATTTTTTTTGTTGGGGTTTACAACTACTAATGTTCAACTCCGTAGCCTTGTAATTTTGAACACAATAGAGAAGACAAGGAAACTCCTGGATCAAGTATTGGGAGAAATTTGCTGGCGTGGAGAACTTTTTGATGGAACTAACCCGCACTTGCGTTACATGGAGAGAAAAACCACAAAAACCTTCCATGGTTAGCCTGACGGCAAAGAGACTCTAATCCTTGATCCGTCCACTACTGAGGATATTTTACGTCAGCACTGTGGGTGGTGCAAGCCGGATGCGGAATTCGAATAGACCAGCTATCGCTGGGATTCGAACCTGGTTCACCTCATTGGAAGGCAAACGCTCGATCCCTTGATCCATCACAGTTCCTTAATTCCACGGCCTGGTATTATCTAAGTTTTTACTTTTCATGAGTCAGTTAATGACAAAATATTGCGACTCTGATACATTTCTTACGACATTCGAGTCTTTTGTCTAAAATTAACGTGCCGCGAAATTCAGTGTCACGGCCTGGTACATACGTTTAGTTTTAATTTCTTTTGTTGTGTAAGGTAAAACATAATCAAAACCTTATTTTATTTATTCATAAACTGATTCGAACTTTCTCTGATTTGATTGCTTATTGATTCACTATTTCAAAATTAGATGGCTAGTCTGATAGATTTTAGGGTAATAAATCATTACGTCCTAGTTCAGAAAACGGAACATTTCTGATGTAGATATAGCTTTTTAAAAGATAAAACTACAATCAATATTCGATCTTACGAAAATTGTTGTAAGTTTCTGTTATTTATTTATTTTAACAAAAATATATTGATAACAGCTGGAAGAAAAGTGTTAAAATTTAATTTTCCGAAGTCTTCCAAACTTTTACTTCAACGCAAAAAGAATTCATTTTGTGTTATAGAAGTATTATTACCAATCTGTTGCATTTCAAAGAATTATTTTAGAAAAACGTAGAAACTAAAATAGTTTCAAAACTATGGATGAAACAAGGTTGCGGTGTTGAAGAGTTGTTAACTTTTCAGAAACAATCTGAAAATATCAGTTTTTAGTTACAAATGATTATCTTAAAAAAAAATTTTTAGCCCATAAAAAGTAAGTTGTTTTATGTTTTGGGGATTAATTCTAATAATAAAATTTAAATGTTTCCTTTTACGCCTTAATGCAATGATATAATATACACGCTTTAGAAAAATATTTTTTATTTATAATAACTATCATGAAACAAATGATAAATTATTTTTAAAAAAACTATGCTAAAAAATGCTGTTTTATTTGAAAAAATTGAAGAACCCATAAAATTTAAGTGCACAATACCTAACTCTAGCTAACTAATAAAATCTATAACTATGTAAAATTCAATGAAAAGTGTTCTTACAATTATATTTATAAAAAAAATTGCCAAACAAGACAAAACTAATTGATAAATAAATAAATAAACTTAATTTTCGGTAAATATTAAAAAACACTAAGTTTGGGTCAAATTTGAAAATTAACTAAGGTGCACAAGCATCTAAATGTTTTATAATTGGTGCAATTGATATTTTAAAAGAAATGGTTGTTCAGAAATAATTAATGTAAAATTTTTGTTGAAAAAGTAGTTTTTGTATGTTCATGAGACATTTTTAGAAACGTTCCTAAAAAGTGATCATGGGCTCTTGTAGGCTAAATCCAATGGGCTATAAGAGGCGATAAAGTCCTATAACAAAAAAGACTGGCCCGTATAGCCTGGTTGGCAGGGCGATGGACTCACGTTTGTGAGATCGGGACTTCGAATCTAGCAGGTCGAAGACTTCCCGTGGTAACTGGTGCACGTTAAATTCGTTGGATCACAAAGTCCTTCATGTTCCCATAACAAATCAATATCTCTGGAGGTACTGAATTGGAGATTTTCGGGTCTGTCTGGACAGGTTCTCTGGTTCAGGTCAAAATTACGATCTGTGGATGAATGAATGGATGTATGAATGGGTCCACCCTATAAACGGATGTGGCGTATGGGTGTGACAGAAGTCGAATTTTTGACCATGGAGATCGCCACTGGAAAGCGAGAATAATCGCACCCCCACTGCCTTAATGAACGACGACAACAACAGCAACTGAAAGGACTATAAAGTCCTTTTTTTATATGAGATTTTTAATTATCAAATGATATTTAACTTACTTATAACGTTTTATAAATTAACATTCCATAACATTTAATAAATTAATATTAACAAATAAAGAGTCCATTGATAATTGTCATGGAATGGGAGGACAGTGTTGCTTCAATTGATCAATATTTTTTCGTATTTTTTGATTAAAATTGTTTTTGCGCAAAAGCTTTTAGAAAAAAATCGATTTATTGTATTGTAACTTTATAAATCAAGAAATTACACGTTAAATAGCAAAAAATGCAACGAAATTTTTTTTTACATTATACTAATGAAAAATAATTTATTTTAATTAATTAAATGTTAATTTTATTGTAGAAAAGGGGCATAACGCCAGATATATTATTCTAGAGTTAATCTTTTTGCCCATTAGTTTCAGCTATTTCTTTTTCATTTTTCTCAATTTAACTACTCATTAAGAAAATTTTTTTAATTACATTAATTTTTTTAATTAATTTACTGAATAAGCCATAATTCGCACATTAAACCTTTGGGCAAGGTAGTTTCTTTGTTATTGACAGGAATGATTTTATTATTATTAGTGACCATGGCCTAGTAAAGGGAGATGATTAAAATATGCAATAATGTATGCAAAAAAAGAAAACTTTGAATACACAATCTTTTATTAGATGGATAGCAAATTTATTTATTTTTGAAAGACTCGAAATCAGTTACTTATTTGCCTAGAAGGTTCCTTTTAAAAAATCTTATATACCTAGTTTATTAACAGAAAATATTTAAGATCAAGTATATCTATTTCTGATACAGCTTTCTTATTTAATTAAAAAGGCTTGGAGCAATAGTATCATAAAATAGGATCAGGAGCCATTTAAGAACATTTTGGTGAAACACAAAACATTTTACAGGTAAGCACTAAGGTGGTTTTCTAGTAGAAATTCCAAGAAATTGTAAAGTTTAGCTATCTGGAAAGAAAGCTAATGAACAGTTTGATTTTAAAAATGTCATTCTTAAAAAAAGTGTTGCGTATCACTAAACTACAGCAAGCCCGCCAATATTTAATTTTTTTCCAAGGTATACATATTACCTGTAAATTATATAAATGAGTTATTCTGCTAACTATCTTGCTCAGGTGCAGATTAACTGGAATGTTACGTTGAAGTACAAAATTGTTTCATATATCAAATTATCTAGGACCTAGATAAAAGTCTTATCTACAATTTACCTAGATAATCTGTACATTTCCCACTAGACACTCGTTAAAGTGAAAATAAGTACTTTCTGTACGTACCTTGAAATCAGCATAATGTTAGTTATTTTTTGTTATCTAAGAAAATCAAAAAGCTGCAATCAAACAATCTTCACATCATTTGATAAAATCAATCATCAATCACTTTAAAAACTTTAATACGAAGTATCAAAAGAGTTTAAAATATTATCACAATTAAGGAAATTAATGTCATTTCTTTATTTTCAATATCTAAAGAATTAAGTTAATACAATCAAACAATCAACAAAATTAATTGATAAAATGTGAGAAATAAACATTTAGACTTTAATGATTCGAAGACCGTTAATGAGTAACTTTACTTTGGTAAACTGCATAAAAATTTTAAATCTGAACTTTAAAGGATTGGATTAACGTAGTTAATCTATTAATTATTCTAGGTAATGTGTTCTGGGTAATTAGCGGTAACATATACGTAACCCATTATGTTATATCTTTATCATTATTGACATAAATAATAGGAGGTAGTGTGGGTATCTCGATCCTGATTGGTTGCTGAAACGTTACATTTACTTACGCTAGCAACTGTTCTTTCCATTCTATTTCTAGTAAACCAAGCCCATCAATTATAATTTTTCTTAAGTGACACATTCTACATTCTTTCACATTGATGCTTTCACAAATATTTCAATTCTTTCACGAAATATTTCTTACTTAACACAATGACAGAGACGAAGCCATGTTGAACATAAACAAACTAATTATGCATCATAGTTGCCAGGTACACGAAACCAAAATATATAACGGTTACAATAAAATATATAAACAAATAATAAAACTAAGTTAAGTAAAAGACGTCGTTGAGGAAGAATTACTTTTCATCATATTCGATACGCTAGACGGCGCTGTATTTAATTAATTTAACGATAATTAACATTTTAACTTACGTGGAGAAACTTATCTCAACTTTAACACACCATTTTGCTTATCAACGATCAGCTGGTGCTGACGTCATAGGTTATATATGAGGGTGTCTGTGATCTTCTTTTTCTTGAAATGCAAGTACCCAATTATGGGTAATGCAAAGATGGGAAAGAACTTTTCAAACAATCTAATACTAATAGTACTATTATCTTTGTATGCAATTACTTAAAACTTTTAAGGAGTTTTAAATCAAACGATTTGTAGTTTAATAATTAAGAAATTGCCTTACTGTATCAAGAGGACCTGCATGAACTAACTTGGCCAAAGAAAAGTTTCTGAATGGTTTTGGCATTATAGGTGCCGCTTCAATAGCACAATACTTTCCTCTAAATTCTATATCTCCATTTCTCTTAGGCAATTCTATTTCCAGGCATTGATCGAAAGCTCCAAAATCTGAAACGGTCCCTTCGAAAATCCCTGACGGTGGCTTTGACATCGAGTCAAACACTGCAAAAATAAAAATATATTGTTTAGAACAAGAACAATATCATTAAATATCATCAATGGAAGAGACAATTCGAAAGTTAATTAGAACTGATTAGAGACAATTTGAGAAGAAAAAAAATTTACGTTTTCGGCAATTTAAGGAAATTTTCTAGGATAGTTACAGTTAGCAGTTAAGGCCAAACTTCAATTTCCTTTGCAATGATTTATATCCTTTTCCTGAAAAAGGATGTTTTCCAATAAGAGTTCTAAGTGATTTTAATTTTATCGAAGAAATATCAATTAACGACCTTGAGCCGCACGGTTGCTCAAAGGATGGACAGTTCGCCTCCCTATATCCGCAAAGAGAGGTGCAACATAGCCAAAGCAAAATATATCAAATATATAGTATTGATATAGTTTGCTTTGGCTATAATGATACAATATTAGAAAGCACTCCTTTCTGCTGATATAATCGCGTTCTGATGAAAAGTTTCCATCTTTTTACTAATTTTTTCCCATTTTTTTTCGGATTTTCTCTCTTAGGATTCTTATTATTTTTAATATAATTTTTTTTTCTCCCTTTTTTCATTGTTCTGTAATTTTTTCTCATGATTTCTCTACTTTTTGAACTTATTTTATGAGTTTTATTTACTTGCAGCTTATACACAGTAAAAAAAACTTATTGTTTTTCTTAATCTTCGTTTTTTTCTTTTTGTATTTATTTATTATGCTATACTATGCTATTATGCTTATTTTGATATATATATATATATATATAAATAAATAACCTTAATTTCCACTTTTTTTTTCAAAATTTTTTGACACCCCATACCCTTTGTCACAAAGTATCCCATTTCACAATTCGGAGAACAGTTCGGAAACAAAATACATGTTATAGATCACATCTAAAATTCTACTCTTTAATTTTAAAGCGTTTTTTTTAAAATTACATTTGTGATCTGAATATAGATGAGCCTTTATTTTGTTATACGAGATAAAAAAAAAGTATAAATATGCTAAATAATTTCAAATACATTAAATAATTTTAAATATATTAAATAATTTTAAAGCTATTAAATAGTTTTAAATATTTTTATTTTAACCAAAATGTGTGGTGTTTTATTTGATATTACCTCTTCCTTTCTCTCCAAACATGGCTGTTTTAGAGCATTTTTGACCCACTGATTGAAAAGTACTAAAAATTATATTTAATTTCAAATGCAGTGAATGATCTTTTAAGCCTTTTTTTANCGTAGAGTTACAAGGTATGCACGACTTGAACCTTTTTACTTCATTTTCTGTTAGTATATAAAGCAGGAACAATCGTTTTTGCGTGTCTTTTCAACATGATGTGATCCTGATAAACTCTGTCGGAATTGTCAGAGAGAGCTGTCCACCCCCCTTCAGTGTGGAGAATGGGTGCTAACTGTTACCGCCAACAGCCTACCTTTAAATAAAGCTATTGCAGAAGTATTTTGGTTTACGACTGGTTTATTTGAGCTAAAATCAACCCATGATATCAGGGATGTAGCCCTGATATTATAAGTCTCGCAGGATTAGCTTCGCGAAGGTATTATTATTTGCCCGATATATATATATATATATACCGAAGAGCCATTACATTATGACTACCCTGCTAATAACATGTAGGTCCACCTTTAGCCCTCAAAACTGCTAGCACCAGCAGTAGCATTGATTCCACAAGATGCTGATAGGTAGTCTGAGGTATCTGGTACCAAGCGCTCACCAACTGGTCCTGCAATTCCCTCATATTGCCAGGGGGTTGCGTGGCGGCACGAATTTGGTTTTCCAAGTAGGACCACAAATGCTCTATTGGATTAAGGTCATGTGACTTTTAGGGCCAAGACATGACTTGAAAGTCACTGGAATGTTCCTCGACGATTCTACCCTTATGACATGGTGCATTACCCTGTTGGTAAACACCATCCCCCGCGGGAAGAACTGTTGCCATGAATGGGTAAACCTGGTTTGCAACTATGTTCAAGTAGCTTACAGACGTCAGGGATTGTTCTATGAGGATTATGGGTCCTGGCATTGTTTCTGGGCGAGGAACCATTAAAACCTGGGCGAGCCCATTGTTATAGATGGAGGGTGGTCATAATGTAATGGCTCTTCGGTGTATATATATATACACACGGGGTGACCAATAACTTCTCGTACACTTTCAAATTTTCATTACAATAATAAATAATAAATCATGCAAAACTTTTGCATTAAATTAAAGAGTAGTAATCATTAAGTATCTTTACAACAAATGCTTTGGAATTATACTGTCTTTTACTTTCTTGACGAACTTAAGTCTCTTTTCAAACGCATCACATGCGGCACGTACGGCTTCCACTGGTAGTTCCAGACATATCTTTTGATTTACATTTTTTAATTTGCTTAAATTGATGATTTTATAATTATTAAGTTGGGCGAGCATATATGACCAAACAAAATAATCTAATGGTTTAGATAGGGGGAGTTGGAAGCCCATTCATTCTTCGATCGATAAAAAGTCAGCTGAATGTTTGTTGCACCACTCCTGAACCACATATACGGTATGACAAGGAGCACCATCTTGTTGGAAGCAGAAATATTCCAACTAAGGCATACTCTGGATACTTGGGAGTAAAGTAAAACTTTTTCCAAAACCTCAGGTATAAAATTTCGGGCATTGATTTTTATCCCTTTTTCAATGAAAACTTGCCTCGTTTTGAAAGGATCCCCTAAACCACCACAGATGAAACATTTTGACAATGCGAAACATAATGCTGGAGCTCAGAGATGTTATGAATAAAAATTTAAAAAAATAATAACTGAAAAGAACTGAACGTCTGAAAAAATAACTGATTGTAACGAGCCGCGACTGCTCAGAGGATAGAGTGTTCGCCTTTCAATGTGGTGAACCGGGTTCGAATCCCAGCGATACCTGGTTGATATGAATTCCGCATCCGGCTTGCACCGTCAACAGTTCTGACATGAATAAATATCCTCAGTGGTAGATGGATCATGGGTTAGAGTACCTTGCCATCACGCTAATAATGGGAGTTTTTCGTGATTTTCGTCCCCATGTAACTTAAATACCGGTTTATTTCCTTTAAAAATTCTCCCACGAAGGCAATTCCACCCAATTCGTGGTCAAGGAGTTCCTTCGTCTTCTGGGTTGGGTTCAAAATTACAAGTCTACGGATTTGAACATCAGCAGTCGTTCATCCCCAGCATGCCTTGCAAGAATTTCTTCCACCCCCTGTTTCATTTCATCTTAGCTGATCCTGAACATCTGTGAATTTCCTACTTTCTATAATAAGCTTTCAACCAAGGTCCTTTTTCAGAATGTTTAACACTGATCCCCTCGATATTTTAAGCTCTCGGCCTATCAGGTCTTTGACCGTTTCGTCGTATTCTTTCCTTGACCCTTTTCACACTGTCTTTTGTCTGACCCGACTGCGGTCTGCCAGAACTTCTTGTATGATCGACTCAGGAGATTTTAGTTTAAATATTGAGAAAACATGGAAAATAATAAAGATTAATTAAAAGATAAGAAGAAAAATTATAAAAAATAATATACTTGCATAATGCTAGTATTAAAAGTTTAGCACAACATGCTTTAATCAAATCAACTACCAAGTTTTAATTTAATAGGTTTATCATAAGACGAGTAGTCTTGCACGCCAGGGGAAAGAATTTGAAAATAGAAAAACAGTTTTAAAGAGAAAATATTGAATATATAACTTTAAACAAAATATTTGTGCTTTCAGACGAGAAGTTTATCAGTTAAGAAAATGGGTGTGTTATTTTCTGTTTTCAGTGACTAGAATTTAGTTTTTTTTTTAAAAATTTTTGCTATAACTTCAGTAGTTTTGAGAGTATTATCTTATAATTGGTGACAAATTGCTTATAATACAGATAATTACATAAACTTTTTTTCTTCAAAAAAAAAATCGAAAATTTAGTTCTGGAAAATCCTCTAGAACCCCTTAACACCTTTGTAGTGTTTCTTAACATTTTTTAAAAAAATTTTGTATAAAATATAACTTAACATGTTATTCCAATAAACTTATTAAACGTTAATCATAACATAATCATAGTTGTAAAGTTAAATTTTTGATAATTGTGAACAAATTTTTCTTTTAATCACAACAACAGGTTTGCTAACTTTTTACGCTCAATGATAAAATATTTTCTAATGATATCAAATTTTATGTTTTACTGTATGATTTATCCTCTGTAAATCTGTATTAAGGCTATTTTCTATATATATGTAAATTATTTTAGAAAGCTATTTTGTTCCAGCTCTCTTGTGGGGATGCTTTTAATACGGTATATAAATTCTAAAAGCATTAATTTTTGATTGTCTACTACTCTACAATATATTTTTCAAAACACATAGAAGCTGGCAGCCTAGCAAAAGAAGAGAGACGCCATATGCTCCAAATTCGACAAGGGCTGAAAGCCCGTATATATCAAGACGGAAACGAATAAAAACTGGTAACAAATAAATTTCCTTTGTAAATTTTTTTCGGAAATTATAAAATATCCATAACTACCAAATTTTTTAACGGATATAATTTATATATTAAATTGCTTTTTCCAACAGGTAAAAATAATCGCAATGAATTGTTTATTGTTAAGAATAGATTTAATCCTTCCGAAAATTAATTATCCAATCCAATAATAGTTATCCAATAATTTAAACTACTAGTGCTTTCTCTTTTCCGTCTCGCTTTCAGGCCTGCATTCCACAAAATATTTTAGAAAACGGTACAGAACTACATACTAAAATTTGAAGATTTTCGGCTGAATTTTCCTACTTTTTATAAGGCTCAACATGGTTTAACTGAAACAAAGTGGCGTATAAGATAACCCTCTGAATAATTTTGAAATAGTGTAGAATGAAAACCCTATAAATCGAATTTACTAAACCAAGAATCTTGCATTAAAAGACAACCACTAAAAAAAATGTTTATCCGCTGTCCGGAGCAAGTTGAAATCTTTACAAAAGCACCAAATAATCA